AAAAAAAAAGCAAAAATGAACTATTGGGACTTTATCAAAGAGCTTCTGCACAGTGAAGGAAACAATCAACAAAGTTAAAAAGCAGCCTATGGAATGGGAGAAGATATTTACAAACAACATACCTGATAAAAGGTTAATATCCAAAATCTATAAAGAACTTAACAAATCCAACACCCAAGAAACAAATAATTCAGCTAAGAAATGAGCAGAAGACATAGACACTTTTCCAAAGAAGATACCCAGATGAGTAACACACATGAAAAGATACTCAACATCAGTCATCATCATGGAAATACAAATCCAAACCATGATGAGATACCATCTCACACCTGTCAGAATGGCTAAAATGAGCAAAACAAGAAACAACAGTTTTCTTCAGAATGCAGAGAAAGGGGAACCCTCTTGCCCTGTTGGTGGAATGCAAGCTGGCACAGCCACTCTAAAGAAGGTATGGAGGTTCTTTGAAACGTTAAAAATAGAACTAGCCTACAATCCAGCAACTGAACCACTAGGTATTTACCCAAAGGATATAAAAATACAGATTCCAAGGGTACACGCACCTTGATGTTTATAATAGCATTATCAACATTAGCCAAACTATGGAGAGAGTTCATATCCATCAACTGATGAATGGATAAAGAAGATGTGGCATATATATATACAGACAATGGAATATTGCTCAGCCATCAGAAAGAATGAAATCTTGCCATTTGCACTGACATGGATGGAATGAGGTGGTATTATGCTGAACGAAATAAGTCAGAGAAAGAAAAATACCATATGATTTTGCTCATATGTGGAATTTAAGAAACAAGACAGGTGAATATATGGGAAGGAGGGGAAAAGGAAAAGAAAAGGAAAAAAACTATGAGAGACTTTTAAAGACAGAGAACAAAGTGAGGGTTGATTGAGGGAGGTGGGCAGGGATGGGTTAGATGGGTGATGGGTATGAAAAAGGGCACTTGTTGTGATGAGCACTGGGTGTTGTATGTAAATGATGAATCACTGAATTCTACTCCAGAAACCAATATTGCCCTGTAAGTCAACTAACTAAAATTTAAATTAAAAAAAAATGTGTGTATATGTTTGTTATGATTTCCCTCTTCAATGAACTTTTTATAACTGAACAACTGGATGACCCATTGGAAAGAGGGTTTTTACTGTAGTTCTATATTTTTTTTATTGTTACCTCCTACCTATGGAAAGAGATTTCTATTTTCCATTTACAGTGATGATTCAAAATTTCTTTATTAAAATAAACATTTAGGTTACCTAAACCAGTTTTTACAATATTTACAAAATACAGGGGGAATTCAGGTATGGCAAAAATCGTGACAGTGGTTTGCTGGTAAATTAAGTTGGGGGAATGTTAGGCTAGATCATTTCTGAGGTCCTGGCTAACTCAGAAATTCTACAATTGAATTTGATATCATTTGAGAAAACGGTCCTCTGAAGCTCTGTATGTGAACTGTGAAATCAGAAGTGGAAAAAGGCCATCTACATATATCTGCATAACACATCTGTGCATTATTCATAAATAAATGAGCAAAGCTATCCATTTATCTCAAAAGAAAATGAAAACCAGTGTTTTAGATCATCATTATTCATTTTGAATTCCCGGTTATGTGACACAGAATATGAGATTTACTGTAAATAGACCATGAAATTAGATAAAATAAAATATGCCGACAGACTCATTTTTAACCTGAATATCCAATGTCAATCACTGAGATTTAACTTCTGCTTTAGTGAGAAATACCCTGGAATGAGTTTTTCTCATAATGTAAGGTTCTAGTTTAGTAAAGAATTAGTCTGGGAAATTTCTTTTTACCTGAGCAAACAGATGGTTGTAGAAGCCTCTCCTTTTTGCTCAGTACTTGGCTTATTTACCTCTTCAGGGGGATTATTTGTGTTTTCAATAAACTTTTCTTTCATTTGAATTTAACTAAATTCACCCAATGTGTTTTTGGTTGAAGCCGTTCTCTCACTTTCTCCCTGCTCAATTTGGAAATATCTCAACATTTTAGAAAGGAAAATCAAGCTTATTAAGGACTTTTTTTTTTCACCAAGTGTTAGTCACACAGAATGCTAGAAACAGCCATACCTTATTACTGTATCTATCCAGAACACTGTGGGAAGGATTCTTAGAAGCCAGGCTCCAAAGCTTTTGTGAAATTTTCTAGGTAACCAGTTCACATATCAAAAAGGAAAATTTTCATCAAACCCCAAAATTTATACATTTGAAAACTCCACTTTCTATATTAGAACTAATTTAAAAAATTTTTAAGTATAACCATTTTTGGAGAAAGGATAATGGTACTAATCCTAAGACTGAAGAGAATTACATAGAATTTTCTGCAGCCAATATATTATTTTTAATGAAGGAGACTGAGTGCCTTGGATTGCATCCCCTGGGAACAGACCTTAAGAGGGAGAGTTTCAGGTTGATAATCTGGTAGGATGTGCTCTCCAGAGATATGTGTGCATACATCCGTAAGTAGGTAGGAAAGGCAGGATTGTGTAGAGAGAAGGTTCCCCTAAATATGCTTGCAACTGAGGCTTCAGCACATCCTATAGGAAGCCCTGAAGAGTAAATGGTCTGTCAGGTTTAGTGCCAAGTGAGTCAAGAACTGGCCTTTTATGTCTTTGTATCACCTGGTTGTTGGGATGTTCACTGAGAGAGGGTATGACCTTGGCCAGACAACTCTCTGCCGCTGGTTATTCCCAGTGTGCACTGTCAATAGCCAATATTCTCTGCAGTCAGTGCGGAATGGCCCAGAAAAGCATTCTAGTATCCACTACACCAGGTTGTCGCATTTTTTGTTGTCGCTTCAGAGATACACTCTTACTTTTTGCTTGCGTTATTAAGGTGCTTCTCTCCTATACTATTAATTTTGATGACTGTCAAGTGTCAGGAGAAAGGTTGCATGAATATGTTCATATTTCTGTACATTTGGCTTTCTGAACAAAGAGTGTTGGCACCTGGATCAAAGGATGATTGAATACTAACCCTAAAGATAGAGATTTTTAGAGAGATACAGATTTATGTTTCTGAAGCTACTTGTTTATCATCTAGGGTGGTATAGTAGAGACCATTTCCTTCTCTCTTCAGGGAACATTTGGATTTGTTTATAAGTGATCTCTCTCGCTCTCTTTCACTTTCTATCAGTCTGTCTCTCTCTTTCTCTCTCCTTTCTCTCCCTCCCTGGTGAAGAGATAAAATTTAAAATCATATGGTATTTGTCTTTCTCTGTTTGACTTATTTCACTTAACATAATACCGCGTAGTTCCATCCATGCTGTCTGTCACAAATGGCAAGATTGTAGTTTTTTAATGACTAAGTAGTATTCCATTATATATATTTATTATATATACTTTTTTTAAGATTCTCTTTTTTTAAGTTTTTTTTTTTATTTATTTGAGAGAAAGAGAGATCACAAGTAGACAGAGAGGTAGGCAGAGAGAGAGAAGAGGAAGCAGGCTCTCTGCTCAGCAGAGAGCCTGATGTGGGGCTCGATCCCAGGACCCTGAGATCATAACCTGAGCTTAAGGCAGAGACTTAACCCACTGAGCCACCCAGGCACCCCTATTTATTATATATTCTTTATCCACTCATCTACTGATGGACATTGAGGTTCTTTCCATATCTTGGTTATTGTTAATAGAGCCGAAATAAATAGGCATGTGTATGTCCTTTCAAATTAGTGTTTTTGGTTGGAGGAGATAAATTCCTAGAAATGGAATTTCTGGATCATATGAAAGAGGAGAAATAGTTGGGGCTCAACTGTTGGGAGGCCAATACAATATAGCCTAGGAGTAATGATGCAATGGCCATGAGTCTCAAAACTAGAGGTCTAATGTCTGGTACTAACTTTTGCTGCACCTTGGACAAATCATATAACCTCACCAGGCTTCTGCATCCTGATCTACAGGAAATCTCTGAAGTTCCTTCCAAATCTAAGTTCAAGCAATTTAGAAGGATCTAAATTAAGATAATTTCATGAGCAGAGAGACAGAAAGGTCAATGGAAATAAAAAACACAGGAAGAGGATGGGAGGGCAATCAGAATTCGCTTAAGATATGTTGATTTCAAAATGTTAATGAGACAGATTGAATATTTTCAGAAGACCGGCTGAAAAGAGAGCCCCAGAAGCAGGAAGAGAGGCCCTGGCTGGAGTTCAGATTTAGAAGCTATTTCCATAGACAGGAGAGTAGATGAAATTGTTAGGGGCAGACTGGAAAAGAGGGCAGGGATGGAGATAACAGCCCTGAGAGGCAAGCAGGTTCTTAGCAAAGCATGACCAGAGAACCAGAAAGTCCTGGGAGGCTAGGGACCAAAACAAAGGCTGCAAGGAGAAACGCCTGTCAGATCAAGGGTTAAATGCTTTGGAGAGCAACTTAACCTAAAAAAGCACTCATCTGGAAAGGCGGTGCTGATATAAATCAGAGGTTTCAGAGGGAGAGGATGGTTTAAAAGGGTAGCTTCAAATGCAAAATGTGTTCAGAGGCATTTGCAAGCAATTTGACTCTGTAAACCTCCAGAACCTGGTGGGTGTTTTTCTTCCAACATGGTCCACATGCCATTTGCATTAAAATTACCTGGCGTGGTTGTTCAGAATGCAGGTTTCTTGGTCTCCTGCAAAACCAAAGATTCATAATCTGTGGAGAGGAGGCTCTGGGTCTCTTCATTAGAAACACCACTATTTATGCTTATGTGTGCAGCCCAGGGTGCTTCAATGTGTTTTTGAAATGAATGGAGGGATTCAGTAGAAAGACATAAAATGAAGGTTGGGGAAACTGATGGACAGCAATCTTGAAAAGGCAAAATGGGACCTAGGGACCAGGAGAAGGAATAACCTGGAAGAAAGACTCCATCCATCTCTAAGGATATCATGTTCCTTGTGGCAGAGACTCATGCTCAACAGAGCAGCCAGCAAGGTCTCCATGAAAAGTTCTGTCTTATGTCTCTACTCTTGGTAATGATATCTTGCCATCTACAGTGACAGTCTTGATGCCAGAGAGGTAACAGGGGCTGAAGTCTCGGCAGAAGGCAGAGCCCCTGATGAGTTCCCCAACCTTTCCGGCAGCAGTGGGGAGAGCACGGACAGCTGGTCCCAGCTTGCCAATGAGGAGGACAATCCAGACGACACGAGTAGCTTCCTGCAGTTCAGTGAGCGATCCATAAGGTACCTGCTCTTGACTTTCCAGGGAAATAGGTCTCAACACAGATTCTCAAATACTTTATAAATGGTTCTCTACAAAGGGTCCCTAACAGAGCAAGAAGGAGAGCTCCCACTAAGTCAGGGTGCTTGCCTGTCATGATTTATGCTGAGAGGTTTCCTAATATCCAGTTGTGCCTTTAATTACCTTGGCCAAGGTTAAGAGTCAGCTGTATTCTTTTCTCTGCAAGCCCCAGCTAGTGCATTCAGTAACAACTGGGAAATTTTAAATAAGAGCTGCTGTTACACCTGGTGTGTTTGATACTTTCTCTCTGGTTCATTTGTATTTCAGATGCAACCCAGGCTGGGTTTACATGAGGCAAGTGTTTCCACATTGTGTTGTGTTGTTTGGCCTAATTGTTTCTCCCCTTTCTCTCCCCTGCCCTGTGTATTGTTGACTCTGAGAACACAAGAGAGAAGTTAATGAAAGATCAGATTTGAAAGGACCCAAGCCCATCAAGAGACATAAACTAAACACTGTCCCTCTGTGAGGTGGAAATGAAAACAATCTCCACATTTCTGCCTTATTTGATACTGGACAAAATCTGCAGATTTTCCAGAAAGGCCAGTGGGAAAATGGGATTCAAATGCATCTGGGTGTAATGGGTGTAATGGCTCTTTGGTGGTCTTATTTCTGGCAGTTCATTCTGCTTAGACCTAGAAAAAATTCATAGTGTTAAATACTTGGTCTAAAATCCCCCCAAACTAGTGGGAAATATTACAATATGGAGATAAAAAAACAAAAAGAATTTAAGTCTCTAGACTTAGCAGAAGTTTATACAGTTAATTGCCTTCAGCACAATGTTTGAGTCATCACATTTCAATCAGTGACTATATTCAATGCCCCACATGAAACCCAAAGCAATTGAAGGAGTCCAGTTTGTTACTCATGGTAGTCCCCAGGGAAGACTGTCCCATTACACAACACACTGGCACTCACCCTTTGGAAACCTGACTTGGAAGAGACATCACTGGGAGGTAGTGGGAATATGAGGAAACTCAATGGGTTTGCTGAAATTGGAGGCATTCCATTCTGCAAGTACAGACAGAGCCTAAAAATTGGCTCAAGTCTACTATGTTTCAGCAACTAAGTTCCAAGCTAGTAACTAGACCATATGTCGATTGTGTAACCTATGAAAATGATTCAGCAGCCCTCCTTCTCCATGATACACAAGGTATCAGGTGCTGCTTCTCATAGATTTTACGATAAAGGAGATAATAAAACTTTGACATTGCACATCTTCATATTTGTAAATTCTGCAGTCCCACAGGAAAACAATCAGCCAGGTGCATATTCTGTGGAATGTCCCTCAGAAAAATCCCTTGAATGGAAAAAGGAGAACATGTGTCTACTGGTTTCTGTCAGAAGTGAAAAAGCAGACAAGTGAGCATTCTGATATCTCCCCAGCCAGCATTCTCAGAAGTATGTCAGTCTCCATGGGTATGCCAAAGAGTCTCTTGCTGATAAGCATCCTCACTGTAACTAGAATGAGGAAGACAAAAGTCATGCTGATTGTCACCCACTAGGTGTGGCTCAGTAGGTCTGACACGAGTGCAGAAATTCAAAAACAGTGATGATGATGATTATGATGAGGACGACAATTATGATTGGCTGGAGCCAAAACTGTCTTTTGTTATGTCTTCCCCTAATTTGTCCAGAAATAAATATTAATTTAGGAGTCCCCCAACAATATTCTTCTGGGGACCAAAAGAAGGACTTCTTAGAAAGAAAGATGGAACATCAGTGTTGGCCGTGTGGTCAGGTGGTGGAGACAGGCATTAATATGTAAACTTTTGCTTTGTCAGCAATGGCAACAGTAGTGCCACTAGCAGTCTTGGCACTATGGACCTGGACATTTATCAGGAAAGCATGCCATCTTCTCCCATGATTAAGTAAGTAGCCACTGAGATGCAGTGATTGTGAGACCACTACTCTAATTTCATCTGGAAATCCATTTTGATCATTCAGATTGTACCCAACCACTGAATCATCATGTCTATACTGCCGTGGATCCGTGTCACTGGAGCAAAAACTGGGGCTTAGAATAGTCCTAGCTAGCACCACTGTTTTCTCGATATCAAATCTAACCCCTCTGACAGAATCATCCCAGAAAAAGTTGATCCATATAATCAGAAATGATATGTCATTTTACTTAATTAGACACAGAGAAGCAAAAATCCTTTTAAATCATACCATGCCAACCAACAAATACTATTTTTCAATAGAATATAATGTGAATGGTTTTCCTGTACTTGTAGACACTGGGGTAATCATTACTAAATGTGTCTAATACCAAATGTGCCACAAGGAAGATATGTCATTGCCACACAGTGACTCTGCTTCCCAAGACCTTGGTCCTTCCAAAAGACCAAGGGGAAATAAAGAGCACTTAGAGAAGCGCAACATAATAAATAACACAAAATACAGGTCAGGAAAGGAGGACAACATGAAGTCAGGGCTACATCCAGAATTTGTGATTATTCTGGAAAAGTAAATGAATTGAAATCTATTTTTGACCATTATGACTTAGCTTATTACTATTTGGAATTCTCTGAAATCTCAGAAAGATAAAAATGAAAGATAAGACGAAAGCTGCTCCCTGATCTACTTCCTCAGTTACTCTCTCTAGCTCAGTCATTTTTGCTTCACTATGTAATCAGGTATCTTGCCTGTGGGAGTATTCCTCAGGGAGTGAAGGAATCAGTCCTTCATTTTTCCTTACTGCCATTATTCACAAGTAGAGATGAATGTACACATGACCTTGGGTTTGTTTTGTTTCATTTTTTAAAAGGAGAACCAAAATGCAAACAAAATTATTTTGGGGTACATTTATTTTTATCCTTCAGGAAACATTTGCTTTGCTACTTTTTTCCATCTTTCTCCAGGGTTAGAGCCTAGGAACCTATACACGTAGATGCATTCAGGGAAAACAAAAACGGCCACCACCCATATCAGCATCCTGAAGTTCATCAATGGCAGGAACTGTCCCTACTATATGTCATTTCACTTATATCACTTGCAAGGATCCTTGGGAAATTGGCAATTCTTCTAAAAGTAATTCTGTATGCATGGCAGAACAGCTAAACTCTCTCTCAACATCAGGAATACAATGGAATTTACAGCCAGTAAATCTTAGCAGTAATAGAAAATATAAGAGAGAATACTCTCTCATAAAAATACACATTTTAAAGAGCTCTGTGTCCTAATTTCCAGCCCGTACAAAAATATAGGACAACCACAAGCTTCCCAAGATGGTCAACTCCTTTCAGCTGTTGGGACATATGCTCTCCTTTTGGAAGCAGTTACTGAGTCCTGCCATTACATCAAGGCTTCCTTACAAGTACTCACTGTATGAAAACACCTCAAACATCGGACATGAATGTATCTAATGAAATACTTCAGTTATGTCTCTATAGTTCTTTATCACCTCCAACCTACTCATCCTCCCAATTAAAAAAGAAAAATTTCAATTTTAATTGAGATATTTTGTTGTACAATTTAGGTTCTGCAGCTCATTGGATGTTTTTTTTTTTCCCCTTATTCCAGATCAAGGAACCACAAACATTAGAAAAAAATATTGGAAAAATAGACTAAATGCAAATCATTGTGTTAGGATGACAATATATGATCCTTTAAATGACAAGTAAAATACAGAAGAAGGATAAGTCCCCAAATAAGATCTAGTTGTCTACAAGATATTTCCTTGATTGTTCAAACCAGTGAAAGTTTATGGAAGAGAAGTTGAGAAGAAGAGAAAGATGCAGTTCTTAGTCTCCCACACCCATTATCCCAACTAAAACTACATAGTTTATCTGGCCCTTTTTAAGGTCCTCTATTTATTGCAGACCCAATGATTCTTTGTAATACCCACATTGATATTTCCCCAGTGTTACTTCCCTCTATGAAAATGATAAATCTAGAATGAACTTCAGAAGTTTTTAGGTCAATAAGATCCATTGCCTCATCGTCCATTTGCAGCTTATTCTTCCTAAACATTACCAACCATATACTGTTGTTTTCTCCCAAAGTGAATTAGTAGAAGAAAAGGAGATTCTTAAAGGACAGTCAGAAAACGTAGAGGGTAAGCCACATTCCCATAATTTTGACACACAATTTGCCTGTGATCTCCCCATGGAAAACGTGGTAAATCTGGGCTTGTGTCTGTGTTCAGAAGGTGCCTCTGGAGTGCCGGTGGAAGCGGCCAGCCCCCAGGGGAGCCTGCTGGTGATCAACTTTGACCTGGAGCCAGAGTGTCCTGATGCTGAACTTCGAGCCACGCTGCAGTGGATAGCTGCATCTGAACTTGGGATCCCCACCATCTATTTTAAGAAATCTCAGGAAAACAGAATCGAAAAGGTACCCCATCCTGTGTTGGGATGTGAATAAGTTGTGCTTTTATTACTCATTAAATTCCCAGTCAATTCATTTAAATTTGAACTATTTGTCCTTTTCACCTAAAAATTGTGACTAGAACTTTGAAACCTTCCACCTGCATCAATATAACCATGATAACTGTTTCTTTGATCCTCAGTTGGTCTCAGCTCATTGGTGACAATGAGAAAGTGAAGTGAGGAGATGGGAACTTTCTCAGAGTCTGGTGTTTTATTTCTGTGTTTGTTTTTGTTTTGATGTTTCCTTGCTCTGCAACCAACCTCCTCATCCCACTCATTTAAATAGATAGATGGGAAAGGCTTGATAGATATGAGAAACTAAAGTGAGGCCATACTAATATTTAAAACAGACTGTGGCATGGTGTCAGTGGGAGGCATGTGTAATCCCCTACTACATAGGTTTGCTTTAGACAGACTTCCTCATTGTCACTCACCACTTACCAGAAACATAAAGTCGGGGAATAGATCCCTTGCCAACCTCTAAATTAACAGCAACTATCGCTCTAACTCCCAATCTCTAAAACTGCCCACGAACTGTTCTAGAAAGTTAATTATTAAGATTTAAGCACAAATCCACCTGCCAATGTCTTCAAGCTCAACTTCCCATAATTTAAAAGTGTGCTCCTTCTAAAGATGTTTAAATCAATAATAATGTTGTTGTGTGAGTTTCCTATTGCTGTGTACCAAACTGCCACAAATTTTCTAGGTTAAAACAAGACCAACTAGCTATGTTGCCAGAAGCTGGGTGAACTCTAATTTGCTCTCTGCTTAAGGATTCACAAGGCAGAAATTAAGATGGCAGCCTGGCTGGGAACTTGTCTGAAAACTGTGGGGAAAAACAAGCTTCTAAGTTTGTTCAGGTTGTTGTCTTAATTCAGTGCCTTGTGGTTGTAGGACTGATGATCCATTTCTTTGCTGTGCCCCTTCTAGAAACTTCCAGCATTCCTTGTCATATGGGCCCCTCCATGTTCTCATGCAGTCAATCTCTCTTACTTCTTCTGCCACCAACCAGAGAAATGGTTTTTAAAGGGTTTATGCAATGAAATTAGGTTCACCAGATAGTCTCCCTTTTGATTAACACATTATTAATTAAAGAATCCCTTTTACCATGTACTTAATAAGGGCACAATTTTCTCATCCTAGTCATGATAATGAGGATTAGGGCAGAAATTTTGGGAGCTGTTTTAGGATCCTACCTATCACTGCCACAGTGCATTTTGTAATGTCTTATTGTCACAAAGTTTTAACCACATATACATTATACTTCTTCCTCAGTAACTCATCAATAACCCCCACTCGTCAATAGCCATTGGATATTATCATCCTTTTTTAATTAGCAGGTCAGGACTTAGAGAGGCCGGCCCATGAGAGAGTCCTCAGGTAGTGATGGCTGAGCCTGGTACTGGAAACTTCTCAGTAGTGTCTCTCTCAGGTTAAATTGTCTTGGAGTTATGATCTGGATTTTTTTTTAAATATGTAATTGTGTTTTAATTCTCATTGTCAAAATCTAGTGGCCTGTGATGAAAAATCCTTTACCATGTTGCTCACGCACATAGAAATTAGAACAGCTTCCCCATTTCTGCATCACCAGCCAATGGCATTAGCTACCGGAAAAATTCAGAAGGAGACCTAATGTATACTGCCCTCTCCCACACCAGCCTCTCTCTCCAACCAGTAACTTACATTTCTCTTTGTGTCTAAGACTTCCTACCATTCCATACCACCTGAAACTAGATACTATGCTATACTTGTCATAGCTTTGTTGGCAAGGTAATGAGAGGTTCACTATTTGATAAATTCTCCTTTCACCTCACCACCCAGCCCGCTCACTGCAAAGAGTGGAGTGAAGGAACACTCTACATTGGATTCCTCCTTCTCATACACAATCCTGATGGCTCTCTGTCATGGGGAGGAGAACAAGAACATTCTCAGGCAAAGTGCATCCTCAAATTCCTGGAAAAATGAAAGACAGGCTTGTTTCCAATTTTATCTCCAGAGCATTATTTGGTACATTTTTGGATGGTCTTTTAATGATGTACATTTTTATATGATCCACCATTTCAAAGAAACAATGTAGTAGTCTCTATGAATATATGTCTCATAAATCCTTATCAGGTGAAAAGACAAATGGTGTGTCACTAACTTGATTACTAACTTGATTATGTAAATTAGGCCCTGACTTGATATTTATTTATCCTCACTACTTTTCAATTCTTAGAGGGATACCTGCCTTTTGCTCATAGCAGTTTGTCTGAGAGAATAAATGCTTCACTGGTGTTATCAAGAAAAACACGAAGTAATGTTTTACTCATTCAATGTGTCATCAGGTCAAGGAGCATATTTCTAAGTACTGTAACATTAAGGACTAAATATTCTAATATTTTTCAGAGTCATCCTAAGTTCCTAAGTTCTCTACATAGGGTGTCTTCTCCATAAATGGGCACTATTTGTTATCTGAGATGAAACTGGTCAAATAAAGCAAACCCATAAGCAACATGCTGACATCCTTTCTTTTATCAATGCTGTATCTGGAAACCTCTTTCTGATTGTCTTTTCTTGATTAATTAAGTAGGTATTCAAGTGTGGAAGAGATATTGGGGCCTCCCATGAGACTGTGTCATATGTAAAGGCAGCACTGTTTCACGTGCTCCTTCTCAGTTTGGAAAGGATGAAAGAAGCATCTCTTTTAAGTTTGGAAATGTCATTTTCCCACCACCACCCAAGTATTAAACATCACTCACAGATCTATGCCCTGAGTCCCCATTTGTGTGAATTCTGCATTTTTAAAATATATCAATTTTGTTAACAATTTTCACACTAGGCGTTCCACACTCATCAACCCACCTGCCTTATGACAATACAAGCATGAGCTAAAGGGGAGAGGGTCTCATGAGTAAATAGTGAAGCAACTTATCTTTCCCACCACCTACCTAGGAGTTGAAGGGCACTTAATTAAAGTCAGCTTATAATGAATTTCAGTGCCATTTCAACTCAAAAGGCAAATTCCAAACAGTTTTAGCGCCCAATGGAGTGTCACTCTTTTCTGGTAAAATGACTTTCATTTTAAAGCTTTCTCTTTAATGGTGTTTTTTTTTTTTACTCATTAAAATGTTATGTTCACTTGAAAGTCATACACTCAGAACACTCATCAAGTGTTTCTCAAGCATGTACAACACACCAGGCACTATTCTAGGTCCCGGGAATATAGGAAACAAAAGAGACAAACTTCCGACCCATGGAGTTTCATTCTAGTTCAGGAGAGACCCACAGTAGGGTGGATACAAACTAGGATAAACTCAGATTCTAAAGAGAAATCTTGAAATGTGATGGAAACTTATTTTAGAAATGGGAGATGATAAACACATGGAAAATGGGATTTATTACACCTCCACTATGAGCCAAATGCACAGAATTACCTGGGACAATCATTTACAATTCATATGCCTAGACCCTTCCTTGGCCCTGATCACTTCCAGCGGGGCCCAGAAATACACATTTTTTAACAACTTCCCTCAAGTGAAGTCACTTTGATGAGTACTAAAGTTTGAGACCTCCTCCCATAAGAAATATCCTGAAAGAGTGGCAGAATTTGATGTACAATTTAAGTATTTAGTATTTAGTATTAGTATTTAGTATTAGTATTAGTATTAGTATTATATGTAGTATTTAGTATTAGTATTTAAGTATATAGCATTTAGTATTCTAAATTCCAGGGCAAAAATTGCTGAGAATCCTAATGCCTGATGATCTAAAACAGTTTGTAAATATCGTTCACAATGGCTGACAGTAGATGCAACTGATGAATCACTAAATTCTACCCCTGAAACTAATAATGCCGTGTATGTTAATTAAATTGAATTTAAATCAAGAATTTTTTTTAAAAATTTGTTCTACTTAAAGTGAACAAAATCATGAAGATAATTTTTTTTTAAGTAACATAAATTGGCCAATTATTCTGTCTTTTGGATACAAGGTATCATTGTCCTCTAGCTCCCTTTCTAAATCTAATGAGCTTCTGTGAGCTGGAATGGCCTGATGACTGACTTCACTGTAAATCAGTGCCTTTCTCATCTTTATGCACTTGAGAATTACTTCCTTTTCTAGGAGGCAATACAAAGAGCAGAGGAAAGAGAGGAAACAGTTGTATGCATACCTCCCCAAGAAAGTGAGGATCCAAAGAGATGTGACCTCACTGCTAATTTCTCATTCCATTCTACATGAAAAGTGGTGGAAGGACAATAAGAAAAAAAAGGAAGGAAAAATATACTGTCTTAACTTAGACAACCTTAACAAAATACCATAGACTGAGCTGCTTATACAAGACATTTACTGCTCACAGTTCTGCAAGCTGCGAAGTCCAAGATCAAGGTACAAGCAGATTCCATTCCTGGTGAGGGCCCTCTCCTTCCCTCTGTCATCATACGGTAGAAAGAAAGGCAGAGCTCTGGTGTCTCTTCCTTTTCTTATAAGGTCATAAATCTTATCACAGGAGCCCCATCCTCATGACCTCATCTAAACCTAACTATCACCCAAAGGCCCCACCTTGCAATACTATCACATTGGGGTTTGGGGTTTCAATACATGAATTTGGTGGAGAACACTGACATTAAGTGCATAATAGATACTAAATCTCCTCCTTTATAAATATAAGAAATTGTCTTGAATTGAACCCTTTAGTCAAGGTTCTCAAATTCAGTGTGCACCAGAATCACCTGGGGAGATTTATAGGCCCAGATGCTCTGGCCAATTAAATCAGAATCTCCTCTTGGTATGAAGCCCAGGCATTGGAGTTTACTAAAGGTCTCTGGTGGTTCCAGGGTACAGCCAACACTGATAATCACAGCTCTACAGGCTATAATTGCAGGAGCAATATAAAACCAACTCACTTGTGCTTAATAAAATGGAATTCTGCCCTGGAGCAAAAGAAGGTAGTTGCTTTCAGAAATCCAAGCTGTTTTTTTAAAAATCTCATAGCTTGCAAACAACTTCCATAGATTCTAACATAGGATTTTTGTAAACAATTTATCTAATTTAGTAAATGTGTCTGTGAATATAAAAGTCCTCTACCATGTGACACTTGTCTTTAATGAGTCTGTCAATGATGTACCATCACAGGATGTAAATCCTTCTGGCTTCCTAAGACAAAATATTTGCTCAAGAAAATGCCAATTGTTATCTATAGAAAGGGAACCTAATTATTATTGACTATGAAATGGCAGGAAATGAAAATATTTGATTTTTAATTTTCAATGCATTGGAATAAAAAAACTCAGATCCTTGACATACTGAAGCTGATTCTAAAATTACCAGAGCAAACATATGGTCAGGCAAAATGAAAGATCTAGGGCCAGCTGCTAAATTGAATATGGTTTGGAAGCCTATAGTAACAAACTGGGAGTGTCTTTCTTGGCTTCTTCACAACCTTAGCTTCAATTTTTATTTAGAAATTTGTTGTAGTCATGGAAGAAAAGAAAGTATAAGACCTTCTTGCTCATCAGACCCACAGATGTTTCAAGGTCTTGATGTCTGAGATTAAGTCATCACAGCCTCAGAGTAGGCTATATTTAGTGGGGCTGGATCATTTTTAAAAGCTGCTTTATTGGGATATCAGACTGAATTTAGAAATCATGAGACAGATCCTAGCCTGTTACCATTTCACAAACTACTGGCAGATGGCTACCTGGTGGGGCATTTTGACAACTTTTGGTCAGTCAACATCATCCTGTAGTCATCCCCACAATGGGAGATCCTCTTTCAGCAAGTCCTAAATAAATGGAAAGATGCTTGTAATTGAGCTTCTAAAGAGGTCTAGACTGAGAGCCTTCTGGGAAACGCTTAGCGAATATTGACATCTGCCCCAGAGTTTTGATTGTCTTTTAGAGAAGTGACTCAGGGATAGAAGTTGGGAACAAAATGGTAGCCCAGTGAGCCAGACTTTACAGGGGGAAAAAAAAAAAAGGAGCTGAGGTTAATTTTATATTTCTGTGTATTTTATGATGACTGCATCTTTGTAAGACATGTTAAGGGAGAAGAGACAACCTCCAGGGATGGGCCTGGCCTAAGGTTATTTATGACCCTGAAATCGTGAAGAGATGTCACCAACCTATGAATCTCTCACAATGAGACCTCAGAAACTTGCTCTTCAAGCTTTGTCCACTGGTAACACCTACTTTCTAGACTTCCAATAAGAGCTGGAAAAGTATGATTTGTCAAATCATGCAAAGACATCCTAGACTTTCTCTTTTTTCTCTGATGCTTCATGTTTTTATCATTTGTCTGACAGAAAACGTGCCTCAGATCATTCATACATGCCAAGATATAAGTAATAGCTCACAAAGTTATTTTTATGCATCTCCATAAATTACTAATAGTTGCTAGGAATGTTCCCCTATCTGAAGGTATTTGTCTTTTTTGCAAAGTCTTAACACAAAACATTAAGCTCTCTAAAATTTCAAGAATCTGATAGACAAGAAGCTATGCAAAAGTTGCAAAGTCCCAAACAGGTAGTAGTCTCTGAAATTCTATCACTAAGAGCAAGGGAGCTGAATGGAGCTAACATTCCATTGCTGTTCTAGTAAACAGTGAAGAGAGGTCCTGGCTATCCTACCCCGCAATACACATGACACTGTCAGTCACAATGCAATAAGACAGATGCCCCATGACCAGCTTTTACTGTCTTGTTGCCCACAGCCATTTTCCCAATCTAGGCTCTGTTCAGCTTCAGCTTACAACCACTTTTGTGGAAAAGCCTATCAATAGAAAATTATTGACTAAACAGCCTCAAGATATGCATATTTAAGTTACATATGTGTAAATTAAAACTTAAGAATGAATACTTAGATGAGGTTAATCCTCAATGGTTCTGGATGCCATCCCATATTTCAAATAGTCTTCTTGCTCATTTAAAATGTATTTGAGTCACATTTGATCATTTGTTCCTTCTCTCATTTGGCCAATTTTATTGAACACCTATCAGGTACAGGCACAAGATAGTAAGACAGGGCTTAGGTATTGTCCTTCCCTGGGGAATTATTATCTATAACCTAGTTGCTATTGACCTCCTATCTGTTTCTTTTTTTACATCACCCCATGGGCTCACGCCCATGAGTTCATCTCTCAAGACCTCAATTTTTCATTTGTCAATGCTGGCTTCACAGTGTTGTTGACAGAATTAAATGAGATTATATGCACAAATGTACTTCCTACAGGTTTTGGCCCTTAGTAATTGTCACTTTTCTTTAAAAGTGTCTGCCTAAGGAGTATGGAGAGGTCTTCACTTTGGGCTTCATCTCACAGTGTCATGAAACGAACCATCTACAGTAATTTCCCACCTTCCAACACTTCAGCTCACAATTCACCTGCAGCCAAAAACATTATCTCTAAATTGTGGTACCAGTTGAAGCTGGTACCAACAACTGGGACAAATCTAGGGTGTTTCTCCAATCTTTCCTTTTCCTTTTATAATGGAAAGTCAATGTCTCTTGAAATGTAGTGACGGGGGAAGAGATTTTTCAAGATGGAGGAAGGAGCCAGTAAGTGACTGCACTCTAAAGTTTAGCATTTGATTTATTTACCCTAAATGTATACATCCAATGAGAGATCATTTGAGACAGGTGGAAAGTCCTGGGAGCTATGCTGTACAGTCCTGTCTGAAAGAGTCCAACCCAGAGAAAAGCAGACCTGAGGAAACTCTTGAAATATCTAAAAGACAGACTCTTGAAAGAAGAATTCCATCTAGTCTCTGGCAATCAATGGATGACAACTGCTCTGAAGGAGAAAATTCCAGCTCACTTGAAAGAACTTTCTAACAATCTGAATTGTCTAAAAAGAAAATAGACTGTCCTGGAAAATAGTTTCCTGTCACTAGAGATTAAAAATATAGCCTTGAGAGCTTTTGGCTTTGGAAGAATGATTGAATGAGATGACTTTAAAGCTCATTTGTGATACCTGAGTCCTAATTCTGTGCTTTATTTTAGTTTTTAGATGTCGTGCGGCTGGTTCAGCAGAAGTCCTGGAAAGTGGGAGATATCTTTCACGCAGTTGTTCAGTATTGCAAAGTGCATGAGGAGCAGAAGGAAGGGACCCCAAGTCTCTTTGACTGGCTCTTGGAACTGGGATAAGATAGCTATGCCCTTAGAGTATCCCTTTCCTTTATTCCAGCTTAGATTACAGTGGTTTGCTCTAAATGCTCTAAACTTTCTCAAAACATCCATCACATTGGCAGAGCTATAAAAAATCTGCTATTCAAGTCTATGGCACATAGAATAAATCTGAGGAAAAGTAATAGGTCTGTACAAATCAATACAACCTATGAACGAGTTCAAAAGAGCTTGTATTAGAATGTCTGGAAAAACAAAAATTTTAATGGGCCCTAAACTAAAAGCTTACAACTAGGCCCAAAATCCAGGAAAGCTGTTCTTAAATATTTTTAATAATATAAAATGGTGTGTAATGTCTCCAACTATGTGATTCAACTGGAAGTCAAGTCACTAGTCAATATAATTTTGTAAACTATGATGTAACCTTTATTTTACTTTTTCGAGCTGATTATGGGGCTCTCAGCCCAGATCAACATTTAAGATATGGGTGAGAAATTTCCAGAATTTTGATACAAGGGATTTTCACTATCAGACCAGTATCAGTGGATATTAACAGAAATGCAAGAGTATTATTGACGTCCTCTACTGAGGTGATTTCATTTTTTCACTGCAACTCACTGATAAATGCTCAGCACCTCCCCAGCAATATCTGTGTTTCCAGCTAACCAGAAAACTCTTGGTTTTCAGTCGAGAGAGAGAAAGAATGAAGGTTGTCTTGTTTCCATCTCTGTATTACTTGCATAACATGTTCGCAGAATTCTTACCATAAGAAAAAACTTTCTTACCAAAAAAAAAACAAAAAAACAGTCTTTTGAGATAAAATCTGCTTGTGTGTTAAATTATATAAGATATAAACTTTCATTTTATTTTTATTGTAAATTATGAAGAAATTATTATCTTAATATATTGAGTTATCTTAGAGGTTCATAAAATATGAGGGGATTATAGTCTTAAGTGTCATATCTTGACATGCAAGATCAGTACTTTTATTATAAATGTGTTGGTTCTAGTATGGTAGACCTTACCTGGGTGACATTTTTGATGACAGACAAAGGATTTGACATAACCCGTTAGGATGATACACTCTTCCTGATTCAAAGATATTGACATTTAATTGGGGAAGAAGAAAACCTTATCATATTTAATTTGTTTAAATAACAGGGATTTACTCTTCTGAAAAATAAAAAGTATCTAACTTCTCTTCTCCCTTCAACTAAATGAGACACCCTGGCTTTTATTTTCTTGACCAAAGAAGGTATTTACTAAGATTCCCTGAAATACCATGTTTTACTCTATTTTTTAAAATTGTGAAGTAATTTTAAGTGTGAAAAAGGCCCCATGCCGTCAATGCTGGCCTTATGTGTCATCCACATCTTGAACTGTCAAGAAAGCTTCCTTGTAAGCCTTACTTCCCTCTTCACCACATACCGAGGAATCCTCCTCAGTACTCACTAGACACTTATTATGTTACTAGTCCAAATTTAGGATATGTGTTTAATTTGTCACATTAACAAGATGTCAAATTTTAAAATATATCCATTATCTCAAGCTGAAAGTTCTTTGTGCTACTAAATGGAAAAGGATCTATTTATTTTTAAACAATCCCAGAATATTATGTGTAGACGTTTGTTGTGCTCAAATGAATGTTTACTTACCCTAAAAAGCACAAATACTGGATTGTAATCGTGTGATAAAGTTATATACATGTTGTACCTAATGTTGCAAACTAATCAATAAATTTTTGTTCCCGCATTGTCGATCCTTTTTTTTTCTCCCCAAGTCGTAAGTGCCTCATAGAACACAAGAGCCACAGTATGATCAGATGAAGGAAGATTATCTTTTAGACAAGATTTACTGTTACACTTTCAACTTTCAAATAAGCCAATGTTCTTTGACTAAATTAGTTGGCATCAGTGATATTCATGTAAATTAACATTTCTCAACCTTGGCACAATTGACATTTGGGGCTAAATAATTCTCTGTTGCAGGGGGTTGTACTGAGACTTCTAGAATGTTAGGAACACCCCTAGCCCTTATCCAGTAGATGCCAGTAACCACTTCCTCCTGTCATGACAACAAAAGATGGGTCTCCCAACATTGCCAAACATCCGTGGTTGACAAATTCACCACCAGTTAGGGGCTGCTCGTATAAATACATGCACTGAAGGAGCAGAGCCTGAGTCTCTAGAAGGTGTTAGGGTAAAGGAAGGGGAGCCTGTAGTCTCTAGTCTAGGGAATCCCAGTAGGAACCTGACAACCATGCATTCCCCTCTCGCCTTCCCATGGCCCATGAGCTGTGGCTTTTACGGCAAGTCTGGGGAATGGAAGAAAGAAGCACAAGGCAAACAGGGCTTGGACAAAAACTGACCTAGACTCCAGTAAACTAGAGGTAAAATTGTCAGGCTTAGAGGTAAATGGGTCAGTGCTCTTTGAATTCAGGAAATAGATTAGTAGAATTTGTGCAAATAAAGCTCTGAGACTTCTGAGCACTTTATATTATTCACTAATAAGAAGGCATAAATCTGCCATGTAAAGGATTGTCCAATCAGCCACAGGGTAATGTCGAATAATGTCGAATAAAATAAACTCTGGACATTGGCAAAGAGAGATTTTATTTGACAGGATTATAATAAGGGGAAAGGGGTTGTTGCAATGGTCACAGAGGTAATGGTAACAGAGTGCTCCCACTGGGAAACCTGCCAGCATCTCAGGGCCAAGCAAAGAGGGTTTTATTTTACTGTGAGAGTAAACAAGAAAGAGCCAGGTTTGGACAGTGGGATGGACCAGCCGAGCTGGTGGAAGCAGCGAGGTGGCTTGGAGGAACAGTAGGGGAGAGCCCCTTGCATCCTGAGCTCAACCTGTTTTTAGGAGGGGCTTCTTCCTTTTTTTTTTTTTTAAAGATTGATTGATTGATTTGATAGAAAGAGAGATTGAGAGGGATGGATGGAGGTAGTAGCAGAGAGAGAGTCTTCAGCAGACTTTGTGCTGAGTGTGAATCTGACGAAAGCTCAATCTCACAACCCTGAGATCATGACCCTGAAATCATGACCTCAGCTGAAACCAGTATTTGGTCACTTAACCAACTGAGCCACCCATGCACCCCCTCAGGAGGGGCTGCTTAAATAGGGTTGTAGGCTGGAGCAGGCTGAGGACAGGTCAACATTCAGGGTCCTGGAGAAAGGACAGAAGCACCTTAATTTGGGTGAACTGAATTTGTGAACAAGCCCCTTGCTCCAGTTGGTCCGTGGGTGTGAGCCATTCAGCTAATCATTTATGAGGCAAAGAATGGGTATTTGCGGGGTTCCCTATCTGAGGCAAATAAGGGGGACATCCAGGAGTCCAAGTTTCAGAGCTTAGCTCTTAGGAACCATCCAGAGGCAAGACCCAAAAACAAGCCTCTTTTCGGGACCTACAGGGTTTGAGCAAGCCAGGCCTCCTGACAACCTTCCCACCCCTGGCTTCTAGCGTGTTAAGTGGAATTCCTGCATCTCTGGGCATGGATCATAGTGACCACCGTAAGCTCCTTGAGGGCAGAGCCACCATTGACTCCATGGCTCCCACCCCAGTCCGCACACAAAGCCTCACCCACTGGGAAAGCTAGTAGGCTGTAACTGGCTTCCAACTAACGATATTTACACTACTCCCAGAAACACAATTCTACCAAAATCTTCTTAGCTTACCAGAGACTGCTACCTGCTCTAATAAGCTTCTTGAGATTTTTTTTTTTTTTTATGAAATTGCTTTTGGATGTAAGCAAGTGAAACTTTCTATTAAAAACTACCTTTCATTTTAGTTGCATAAGAGCATTTGATCGCAGAACGGAGAATGTTTTCATGGCATTGGGATGCATTTAAATTATATTCAGGACATTATCAGCAGGACTTTGAGGCCAGTTGAGTATAGACACCTTTGAATACAGTGGACAGGGCAAAAAGCATCTGAGTTTCCCTTCCATCAGCAAAAACTGTGCTTGAGAAAAGCCAACAAAATGCAGTCCACTGACGGCTAAAAATCCTTCAACGATCTAAACTTTCCATTTCCTGTAATAGTTCCCTTAAAATGCTCCCCCTCATTAAATCCCCATATCCAGTTTCATACGCTTCTTTTCAGTTTTTACATCTCCTTCCTGTTTCCTCCCGATCTGTCCTTCAGAGATGGCCTTTTGTTAAATTCTTATCAACAGTCATTTATTTGCCTTTGGAAGGTTCTCACTGCTTTGTTGAACTCTGTCCCATTTACTGCTTCAGTCTCTGCTGTGCCTGTTTCTGGCCAGAATGTGGCAGGGACTCCAGATTCTACCACGATGCTCGAAGCACCACAGAACCCAGGTGCAGAGATGGTTTTCTGGCAGATTGTGTGGTCCCAGGGATGAACACCTGGCCCAAGACTTTTTTTTTTTTAATTTTTTTATAGAAGTGGAGTTGACATACAAGGTTGTATTAGTTTCGGGTGCACTACATAACGATTTGACAACTCTGTCCATTACTCAATGCCCCCTACAATGAGTACAGCTACCACCGGTCATTCTACAGTGTTATTACACTATTTCTGACTACTCCCTATTCTGTAGTTCTCATCCTCATGATTTAGTTAGTTTAGAACTCGCAGTTTGTACCTCATAATTCCCTTCACCTATTCTGCCCATTCCTCCCTTTGGCAACCACCAGTTTGTTTTCTGTATTTATGAACCTGTTTCTGCTTGGGATTTTTTGTTTTGTTTTGGTTTTGGTTTTGGTTTTGGTTTGGTTTTGGTTTTGGTTTTGGTTTTGGTTCCACACATATAAGTGAACTCATATGGTATTTGTCCTTCTCAGGCTGTCACTCAGCATGGTTCACTCAGCATGGTTCCCTCTTGGTCCATCCATGCTGCCACAAATGGCACAATCACGTTCTTTTCAATGACTGAGTAATATTCCATCATCACAATCTCTTCCACCAATGCACTACAATCTCTTTACCCATTCATCTATCAATGAATGCTTAGATTGCTTCCATATCTTGGCTATTAGAAGTAATGCTCC